TTTCTGAGCATAAATTTCAATTTCAAGGTAATTTCCTCAGGTTAAGTTTGTTGCTTAGCAGTTCATTTCGCTGGCAACTAGATCATTTCAATGCCTTGTAATTTATTTTGATGTGTTATAATGCTGATTTTCCCATTAGTTCACTGAAGCTTCACAATTATTCAGCAGTTTTCTAGCAGAGGACAGTGTCTAAGAAACTGTTGTACACTATCACCATGGAAACACTAAAAAGGACACTTTTTTTGTCCCCGGTGATTTAAGCTGATGGTTTGACATAAGATGTCTTGGCAGATTACCGTGTTTCTCTGATACAAAATGGCAATTAACTATCCAGTGTGCGAAGGCCGTAGGGTCTGAAAGAATTCAGTTGCTCCGATTTCACAGACCCCCTGGATAACACCCACACTATGCAATCAGTCTGTGTGTGTGCGTGTTCATGTTTATATTACATTGTGTGGACCAAATGTCCCCACAAGTATAGTAAAACCTGAAAATTACCTACATTGTGTGTGTGTGTGGTTCAAGTATTCCCTACATTGTGGGGACAAATCTTTGACCTTGTGGGGAGATTTTTTTTGTCCTCATGAGAAAAACCACTTATAAATCACAGTAAATCTAAACTTCTTTAATAGCAGCTTTAAAATCGAGACACTATGGAAGCTCATTCTCGCCTCACAGAAGGAAAACAAATGTATAAATCACAAAAGTGTTTGGTTCTGGAAGTAAAAACTCCATTAATTGAATTTTGATTGAAATTGATTTTGAGTGGTAACTTATAAACCTATGAACCTTTAACTTATAAATCGCAGTCTTACTGTGAGCTATGAGATTGTTAATCAATGGTTTTTGTTTCTTCTGAAGATCTCAGCCTGCGTTATTTAAAGCTATTTGTTAAATAATCATGTTTCACGGCTACAAAAAAAGCAGCTCTTTAGCTCCGCCCACTCCCATAAAGCACTGCGAATGACATCATCGAGTCTGTCTCCCTACGCTCTCAAAATACTTACATTTGTATGTATATTCATATTTCACAATAAACAAAATATATTTTGAAATGACTAGTTTTAAATTTCTACATCGTTTTTAATTTGATTATATTGTTTGCAATGCTTAAACGAGTACTTTTGAAAAAAAAACTTTTTCTGATAATTTACTCACCCCCATGTCATCCAAGATGTCAATGTCATTCTTTCTTCAGTCGAAAAGAAATGAAGGTTTTTGATGAAAACATTCCAGAATTGTTCTCCATATAATGGACTTCAATGGAACCAAACGGTTCAAGGTCCAAACGAGAGTTTCAGTGGTTTCAGAATATGGTGATGAGGCAGAGCAATCCACAACACAACACATATTCAGTCAGTTAGTAAGAAGACATGTAGTCCTTTTTATTTCAGTCTGAACAAATGTAAACCATATTTGTTCAGTCAATTCGAAAACCACCACAGCGAGGACATAAAACATCTCAAGTACTTCAGAACATAATCATATGCATTTAAAGCACCCTCATGCCCTCTCACCAGTCTCTACGCCCAGGTCTTTCTCTAAAAGCACATAGTCATACATTAGCGCTGCCTCTTTCCAAATCATGTCTGCATTTGATGCACAAACATACCTCCCCAATCACCCAGGAGCAATTCAAATCACCAATGCCATCTGTGATATGATTCACTGATTTAAGACTATATTGTAGTGTGCAATGTTGCTTTTGTCATTCCCCCACAACAAAATACCCTCTTTGGCTCACTTCGCACTTCAATTTGTCCTCCAGCTCATAGTGAACAGGTGCACATAAGGTGAAACTGACAATTGAATTTGCCGTGGGACAAGTCGTCTGTTGCACAACTGACATCTGGACACGCGAACTCTCCACAAATGCATTTTTGCCCTTGAGAAGGCGACCGTGCCATGCATTCAGGGAGGCAGGTGCTGTAACATGACAGCGCAACTGCAAATGGATTTGTTAAATGAGGGTCACGGTGTTGCCAACATTCAGGAACATATTGGTCAGATGGTATATTTCCCTATTAGACAGATATGAGAGAGATTCTCATGGAGTGTTTTGTAACTGATTAAACCAGCAATATGATCAGGGCCATGACTAATTACGACCACATCTGATGCGTGGCGCATTACTTAGTGGTAACAAGTTCCTTGAAAGTTTGCCAGAGCGTATGTTATGTCATCTGTCTGACAAAGAATATTTGGAAACTATCTAGAGATCCAACAAAGCCACAGTAAAGCCACCTACCTGATATTCAAGGCCTCCCACAGCATGTTATTATACAAGATGATTCCAATTGGTGCAATTCTCCCAAAGCGGTCCTGGTTTCAGAACGGTGTCCTTGTTACCCTGAGGACTAAGACAGACATCAGGGAATATTGTTACACCATCAGTGGGATCTGTTCTGAAGCATCTCTGCAAACACGAAACTTCTACAAACACATAAACAGTGTTGGGGAGTAGTTAACTACAAGTAGCGAAGACGTGATGTCAACGTGATCCCTAAAGGAAAGCATCAGATAGATGACGCGGGTAGGTTTAGGTATGGGGTAGGGTTACACGTGATCCTAGGGCGTCATCTAACTGACACTAAATGGCGCCTAAAGCGTCAGATATTGAAGCGTGGTCAAATGCTTCCCAAGGCGTCAGTTTGGTGACGCCTTGGGGTGAGAATGGGCTGAAAGAAGATGTCCAAAAGAAGGGAGGTGTTTTTGCTACTGAGTCAACGTGTAGGCTAAGTCAACCCAATACTGCATGGAGCAAAGTTAACTATGACTCAGGCAGGGAGCACTCCACACTTCCTCCTCCTTTACTTCTCCAGGTGGAGAGATCTGGTCTGTATCACGAACGTCTCATCCAGTGGTAGGAAACAATCTTGAACTGGCACTTAAAATTCTTAACAGTCTTTTAGCAGAGTATCTCTCATTCATGTGGTAGTTGCTTATCTTCTCCACACTGCACAGCTTTCTCCACATCAGTCAGGCGACTTCCATGCCTTCTGACTCTGTACTTTGCATCCCAATTCATCAACAGCAATTTGCTCTAACACCGTCCAAGCTGCCTTTCAGTTGGGTGCTGTAACAGGATGTTTTCACATTCAAACACACAGACAGAGAAACTGAATGGAACAGAATGCAGGCTCTTGAGCGAATATTGAAAAGATTTTAGACACATTTGTTTGAAGTGGCATGATTTGGTTTTGGGGGTATCCTTTAATACATTTACATGATTTAAAGGTCAAAAAATATTTTGCTCATACTGTACTGCTGCCTGTTTTAGCTCATTTCTCTTTAAAGCCATTGCCTTTGAAAATGCCTACTCTGATTGGTCAGTTGGCCCTCTCTGGCGTGATTGGAGTGTGTTTTGGAAATGTAACTGCACCATAATGGGGTCTCTGCTCCCGAGGCTTTACACAGTGTTATATTTATGGTAACCCTTGTTGGTATTGCCGTACCAATTTGAAGCCAATTTCTAATGAGAGTGTCTCCTTGACATAGCAAAATCACTTTCCCAGCTTCTCTTTAAGGATGGGCCAAGTCAGTAGGCTGATGTTATGAAAAAATGTGTAACATGGTGATGTAGTAGTCACAGAAATAATGGCAGGACTACAAACGAGACATACTGTATCAGGCAACTGCTTTCTTTTGGTGTGCTTTGTAACTTTGCAGATTGTTTACACTCTAAAAAATTCTGGGTTGTTTCAACCAAAATTTGGGTCAAATATGGACAAAATGAAATGATGGGTTATAATTGTCATTTAAAATGTTAAACCAACTTCAACTTTCACTTTCAACATTACATTTTTTAATTACATTTTAACCCAACATATGGGTTTGTCCATATTTGACCCAATCCATATTTTTTAGAGTGTGTGCACCTATATTACAAACTAAATGTGGCAGGAAGGGCGTTTCCGTCTTAATTTTTCATTATTATTGGTGGCCAGTCTAGCCTATCATAGGTGCGCTTGGGCTTTAAAACAGTCACGCAGTAGACCTTTCTCACAACTTCCGTATTTGTGACCGGAAATACGCAATTGTCGTGGTAATCTTCTTCCGCTCCATTCATAACAGATAGCGCCGAAGGCAACTAGTGAGAGTTGTTGCATACCGATCTTTTTTGTTATTCCCAAAAGCAGCCATACCTGTCGTTTTCATTCCTTCCCTCGTCAGTTCCCTGTCGATGAAGTTCGACGGAAATGGATTCAGGCAATCTGGCGGGATGTTATTGATCCTGTGATCTTCTGTACTTCTCATGTCACCATTCACTAATAAGCCGTCATTGTTTGTTTATTTTTTATGTTTTATGATTTGTGTATTTTGAAGTAACGTTAGTTCATGTTCAACTGTATTAAGATATTTGTATCCAGCGGAATAAGCACATAAAATATACACCACAATATAAAACAAGATAAATAAGAACACACAACAGTGGGCTACATATAAATTTAAAATATTAATACCATTCTGAGTATTTAACAATCTGAGTGTACAAGGAATAAATTAATATTTGTATAATTTTTCTTCATCTTTGATCGTTCTATCAACAGCAGTGCAAAAAAATCAGGATAACTGTTGAATAAAACTGACAGACTTCTTTCTGGTATTCACATCAAAATGTAGTTTATTGTAAATAATACTCCCTAAATATTAATAACTTTCCACACACTCCACCTTCTTACCTTTAATGAACGTATATTGGAAAGAATGAGCTTCAGTTCTAAAATCAATATCATATCTTTGGTCTTAGATACATCAGCTGCAGACAAGCATCACCACAGCATTTTACAAAGTCATCAACAACTGGACCATGACAAGTTTACATTTTTTCTAAGTTTTGAAGACTCTCTGATCAATTTTCTCCTCCCAGAGTAGGTTTTTCTGATGTGTTAACAGTTGACGGGAACTCCGTTTCCACAACGATTACGTATTTCCGGTTTTTGTGAAAAAGGTCTGTTATCACTCGTCAGGCGTCACGTTCGACTTGCGTCGTTAACGCGCTCCCGTAACTACCTCCCGGAAACCGGATGAGAGCACCCGAACCGGTAAGGAGTATGCACTGCTGTTCTTTTTTTTTTTTTTTTAGCTCCTGAAGTGTAGTTACGAGAAGTGTGTTCTTTTAATGTGCCCTTTTAGAAACGCTGTTTTCTTTGGAGAGCGTGCTGCTGTCCTCCGCAGCACCAGCTCGTTACTGTTCGTCATTGTTTACGTGGACGCTGGAGGAGGTAGGAAGAGTTCGCTGATCTCTCGCTAATCGTGCTCTTTTGAAATGCGTGTTTTTAAAGTGCTAGTTTGTATTTAAGGATGTGTCCTAATGAATACCCTGTCTCAGTGGTGAGAACCTGAGTTCTTCTCCAGAGAAAGCTACGTTTCCTTCTCCCCGACGATCGGGCCCTGTTATAGGTCCGTAAAGGACCGTAACCACATTCAAGTTGGGGGCTCCGTGTTCATTTATGGCCGCAGTGCTGTCCTGTTTCAATTATGCCCTAATCCCGTGTCGACTGTATAAACTGTCATCTGATTCCATCGTATTTTGGGACTTAAGTTGATATTTTCTTTAGTTTCTGTTTGCTTTCACATAGTTTCCATTTTCTTTTGAATTGATATTAGCTGCAGAGATTGGTGTTAGAATTTGAGCCTTAATTCCTGCTCTTCTCTCAATTTAATTCATTTGGATGTTTCTTATTGTTTTCTCATTTGTATTTGATTTTGCTTTTGAACTGTAATCCTTGTTCCTCTCTCGATCGAATTTATTTTCCTAATTGTTTTTTTTTTTTTTCATTTGATTTTGCTTCCAAAGTTGAGTTTTCTATTTTTCAATTATTTTGAAATAATAGTTCATTTCTTTGGATTGGGGTATTTTGCTCCCACCTGCCTGAATTGTTTTTTTTTTTTTTTTGATTAATAATTTTGACTGAAGTTTGGTTTATTTTCTTTAATTATTTCTTTATACATTTTGCTACTGTTGACATTTGGATTTAGTTTCAACTAACTGTTTAATCCAATTCACTAATTGTAATTATTTTGGTTTCTTGATTTAGGTGTTAATAACCTTTCCAGCCATCAAAGTGTTTTTTTTTTTAATTATTATTTTCTGAATCTGACATGTACCCTTTGTGTGTGTGTTAGCAGGGCCTGAGTACTGGGGGCAGAGGATTCTTATTTGGGTGACGGTATCTTTTTCACCGTGTGCAGTGCTTGGAATTAACATCCCTGTGTGTGTGTGTGTGTGTGTGTGTGTGTGTGCGTGAGCACAGTGCAGTGGTTCTGCACCTGTCGGTGGTACGCTACGACTCCCTGCCTCTGTGTCTCTTGTCCTTGTCTAGACCTGCTGCTAAACCTCTAGGGGTTCATTGAATTTGGACAAAGTGTCCTATATCCTTTTTATACTGCTCATTTTTTAAGAATTGTCAATAAAACTGATTTTTTTTTTTTTTTTTTTTTTGGTACGACAACTCATGTCTCTGACTCTTTTGGGTCATACGAACATGTGTATGCCTTTTTGTAGGGGCTAATTTAAATTCTCTGGGTGAAATTCCCAGGGTGGCGTAGTCGGAATTTCGATGATTCAATACTATTAATTATAATTCTTAAGGAACTCCCCTTACTGCCCTTGTGTCGCCCGCCACATAAAGGAAATGTAAAATAAAATAAAAACATAATAATTGGTGCCCTTAACAACAATTATATATTTGTCACTTCATAATACAAAACCGCAATGCCTGCAGCCACTCCAGTCAAGCCAGACATGATTTGCAAACACGCGTTCAAGTCAGGTCTGATGAAAATAAGGGTGTATGCTTGTTAAGATAATTACAGTAATCTGCATGAAGAGCAGAGTGAATACTCTGATTTATATATATTATGTTTTGTTCTTTGTTCACTGGTACAAATGTTAATGTAACCTTCAGCTACATTGAGAAATAAAGAATATTGTCTTTAGAAATAAAGATAAAACAAACATCCACAAAAAAGATAGGCAACAGAAATATCACAAAAATGTACAGTATGACAAAGAACATAAAAAAAGGAAAAATAAATAAAACAAACAATCCGTATACAGTCATTCCTTTATATAATCCAAAATTTTGGTAGAAAAATATTGCCATCCATCAACGGTACGAGGTAAATTCGTAAATAAATATATTTTAAATAGATTCAGCATGTGTACCAAATGAAAGTGTAGCGTAGTTTTAAGGACTGAACGTGTGGAACAGTTGTAATTCTGTATAAAATATTAATTTTGCTGAAATGTTATTCATTCTAAAGTGGACGTACTTCAAATTGCTTCAACAGCACAAATGAACTGCAGTACACAAAAGCTGTCACTGGGGCTGTACCCTTTCAAAAGATGTATTGTACCTAAAGACTGCATATTGGTACCTTAATGGTACATATTAGCACCTAAAATGTACATATTAGCACCTAAAATGTACATATTTGTGCCTAAAATGTACATATTAGTACCTTTTTTTCTGAGAGTGCAGAGTACTTTTCATAAAAAGGGGGTATTTTTCATTATCCCACAAAATCACATCTACTGTCCTGCAACAGAGCAATCTCCAGGTGGACACCCTGGAATTCAATTGGGTTTGAAGCAGCAGTCATGTGAAAGGCTAATTAGTTTAGCTTGCATGGGTCTCTCTCCCATGGGTGGGTGGTCTGTGGTTCACGTCCAATTAAGACTTACACAATCAAAGTAAAACTGTCTGCTGGTGGGCACATAGGAGGCCATTAGAAAGCATGAAGGCCACCTCAGAGAAAGCAGGGGATCTGTGGCCCTAATGGAAACATCTCTGCTGTAAGACCGAAACCTGCTGAGCAGGGGTTAGGATCAAGGATTTAGTGCAAGACATGTCGCTACTTTTAGTTTTAGTTTTCAAAGCATACAATATTTAGAAGCATTTGAGAATGAAAGAACAGCCGAATGAGACTCCCTGTGAGAGTCTGGGTAAAAGGCTAACACCGTGGGTGTGTCGGATATAAGTCTGGATGTGTCTGTTCATTCGTGTCTGTGCACTAGTGAAATCACAGCGAATGCAAAACAAAAGAAATGTGGTCTTCTTTTAAAGGAACCATTGCAAAGATATTGAAACAGGTCCATATTGTTTATTGGTTGATATTGATTTATCAGTTTTGGCCAATGTTTGATATGTTGTTTCTGAGTTATCTTTTACAAATGTATATGATCAATGATGGAAAAGAATTGCTGTTTGCATGTTAAAATATTGTTTTATTGTGGTTGTATAGATTTGTATTATTGGCCATTTATTGGTTATTGGCCATATTGTCTTATCAGTATAAACTACAATTTCATCTGTACATCCCTAATAAAAACAGTGTCTTAACCAGACTCAACGAGTTGTCGTGGCATGAGAAAAAAGTATTTTTTCCAAGTTAGCACACTTTTACTGTAAAAAAATAATCACGATTTTACTTCTCTTCTTCTTTGTTTTTAATGGCGGTTGGCAACCAGCTTTTGGTGCATTACCGCCACCTTCTGCTCTGGAGTGTGAATCAGACATTAGGCTTACAATCTAATTTCCACATTTAAAAAAAAAAAAAATCAGGATTTTAACAGTAAAAGACAAATGCTACAGTGCAAAAATTTTTAATTGGTTAACAGAAAGTTTATGTACTATATACGGTAAATAACTGATATAAAATACCAGTTTGAAAGTATAAGTGAAAAAGAACAACTCATTGTATAATTTACAGTGAAAAAAAAAACGTAAATTGACATTCCCATAATTCCCTGTGTGACACTTCACATTTGATGTATTTTTGTTGAAAAAATTATGGTTCCTCATAGTTTTCTTGTTTTGTTTTGTTTTGTTTCTAATCAGTTATGTACATTAGAGTTTTATGTTACATTTAATGTTGTTAAATTAATGCTTATTGCATTTTTTTTTATTTATTTCATGTGTGTTACCATGATGGTGTTTAATGTTGGAATATCATTGAATATTAATTTGCTTGACCTTATACACGCCAATGGATTGGAAACATTAATTTAAACTGTCAACTCTGGGTTTATTCTAAGACAAAGCTTTTCTGATTGGCTGTGTTTTTTGATTGATTTTGATCTCATAGTCTTGTCATATTTGGTGTGGACAGACAAATTGCTTGTTGCTGAAATCATATCGTATCTCGTCTGGTTAGGGACACAGTGTTATACTAAGGCCTGTTTCACACTGAATAATCAGTGTGGTGCTGTATACTTTGGCTGTGCATCCAATGCTCACAACATAGAGTATTTTCTTTAATATTAGGTATTATAAAATGCTATCAAGAGTGAACTGTCTGCTCCCTCAATGAGGCATGAAGTCACTTTCCAAAACCTTCACCCTCTCTGGGGGAGTGAGCTGTTAACACCGTGCGACAAATTGCTTACACTCTAAAAAATGCTGGGTTGTTTTAACCCAATTTTGGGTAAAACATGGACAAACCCAGCCATTGGGTTACATTTTTAAATTACATTTTTAACCCATTGGTTGGGTTTGTCCATATTTGACCCAAAGTTGGATTAAAACAACAGCATTTTTTTAGAGTGTATGCTCCTCTGTTGTAAGTCGCATTGGATAAAACGTCTGCTATAAATGCATAAATATAAATATTTGCTAAATTCATGAATGTGAGCGGACGACTGAAAACTAATACAAACCTCATCTTTAGGAAAATTTCGCTAACAGTTTTTTCCCTTCCCCTCGCTTGGGCCACAAGCAGTGGTGGAGGAAGTACTGAATCTCAGTACTTAAGTAAAAGTACAAATATCCAGATAAATATTTACTTTCAGTAAAAGTAGAAGTAACACAATGACAACCATACTTAAGTAAAAAGTAAAAAGTACCTGATTTTAAATGTACTTTAAGTATTAAAAGTAAAAGTGCTTGCATAATTTATTTTCCTAATGTCTATTTTCTAATGATTAATAAAACATTTAATTGTAACTCATTCAACCTAATACTCCTATAATGATGTTTAATAATGATGGAAAAAAAATGTTGTCACTATTTCTGAAACAAGCTTGCAATTAGGCAATATACACATCATGCTTATCCTTACTATATGTTAATAACTATGTTTGGCAGAAAACGCGATTAATTTATGGTGTTATTCTGAAACTCTTGGCTTGCCATAATCCTATCCAAACGTATATTACACAAAGTGCGTTTCCTATGCATGTAAAAACAAATTTTCGCATATAAATTGCGCGATAAACACACTGCGTGCGAGACGCATTTAGTTGATGTATCTATGGCAACCAAACGTCACTGGTGAGACAAACGTGCAACGAACGGACGGTCAGATTACGTTTTGTCAGGGGAAAAACTGATCAGAAAATGTAATGAAAAAGTAACAGAAGTTGTAGAAATGTAGTGGAGTAGAAAGTATAATAATTGCTGCAAAATGTAACGAAGTAAAAGTAAAAAGTATGCACTATTTATTCTACTTAAGTAAAGTAAAGATACGTGAAAAATGTACTTAAGTAAAGTAACAAAGTATTTGTACTTCGTTACATTCCACCACTGGCCACAAGTGCTCATGGCGAACTTTTATCAGACTGGCCCTCGCGGCCTCGAAACACACCGAGAAAACTCCCAACTCTCCCGGTCCCCTTAGATGTCATGGGCCCCTGGGCAAGTGCCCAGTTGCCATAATGGTTAATCCGGCCCTGGGAACGATGTGTGCGGTAGAAAAGCACTCAAGAAAGCACCTGAACGAGTGGTTAGCTAGAGGGTGCTACGACCACAAACCAGCTATAAGAGGCAATGTCCATGCGCTCCATTGTGTACACACAAACACACGCACCGTATCAACAACTTAGCCTATGGTAATATCCTGAGAAAAAAAAAAAAAAAATCAATTTCAATTCATTATTTCATATTGCAACATACTGTGATGATACATAGGTTAATAAAGCATTTCTAACATGTCTTCTTCTGAGTTCAGCGTGATATTTGCAAAAATAACCTCAGCTCTGGAACTGTAATTTCCTCTGCACTTTAGCTGTCCCTGCTACACAGATGAGGGCAGTGTGAATGCTGTAACCTGTTACCAAAATAAATATGCAGTGCTTACGTGTGGTGTGAAACAGGACTAATAATATTCATATTCATGAACATCCATCTGGCCATGAATACAAATTGTTTAAAGACTATACAGTGGAGTAACATGGCGAGTCGTGGATATATCCAGCATGCACTGTTAACTGATGTTGCTTTTAGCTTTGATTTCTTAAAGGGGTGATGAACTGAGAAATCAAATTTTCCTTGAGCTTTTGACATCTAAGAGGTCATCATATTATAAGAATATCCTGTAAGTTTCAGAACTGAAAAGGTCCTTGTTAGTCCAATAAAAGCTTTTATTGACACAGCCTCTAAAAACGACTCGTTTTTAAAAGTGGGGAACTATGACGACAAA